TTTTTTCCTTCTTCGTGTGTGAAGGTCTTTGTGTATGTGTTGCCCAAGCCATTTCACCTAGATTGTTAAAATTACCATATCATGTCATCATCAATTATTAACTCCATTAACAACAGGGATTGATTATAAGACATTATAAATACGTATAGACTAACATTAAACAATTTAAAGTGTAAGGATCACAATAAAATAACTGGCATATCATAGGGATTAAATATACAATTTGACTTCAATATACTTCACACCTAAAAGTACATTATTCTTTAAAACTCTCACATGTTGTTTAAAAAAATTAAATTCTTCAAAAAAAAAAAAATTAAAATTTTGAAAACGGTAGTTGTAGGAACCCACTTGATGGGCAAGTTCATAAATTACAATATACAAAGAGCCTTGTGCAAAAGCAAACAAAAGCAAGCTTTCCTTTTTAAATTTAAATAAATTAAATTACTTAACAAATTAAAAATGCATTGCTTTTAAGAAAAGCGAGTGACCCAAATTATAAATAAATAAAATAAACTTTTCTTTATATAATTTAAATTATATATTATTTTATTAATTAATTAAAATAAAAAAGTGGGACCCACAGTTATCATGCGCCTTCAAGGACAAACACAAAGCCATTCGTCTGTATTCCCCTTGTGGCTTTAATATAATTTTGCAGCAAAATTGATTTCAGCCTTTTTCCAATTTTATTTCTCCAACTCGGCGATTCGATTCCCCCATTTTTCACTATCAGCGATGCTTCCGCCATGACGCCGTCGATTTAAGCTCCGGTGATCTCTCTACTTTCAGACTCTGCCGGGTTCTGTACGTTCCGTTCCCGGTATTGATCTGATTCTCCGGTTCTTTTCTGATAAATTGCTGTACTGGAATTCAAACGTATGGATTTTTGTTTTGCTTTCTTTCTTGATGTGTAATGGAGTCAATAAGTTAATTGATTCGAGCTTGCTGTGACTGGTATGCTTGTGTTCAGTTTTGGCAATGAAGAAAAGCATATCTAAGATTCCGGAATTCGATTTTAGTTCATTTTTCTTCACTATTTGCTTTGCGAACTAGAGGAGCTTCTTAGGAAGTCGGATTGCAAGTTTCCAGTTCAATCGTGTTCTGAAAAGCTTATGTTTTGTAATGGATCTTTTAAGTTACCACTTCCGGTTTTGTTCGATCTTCCATCATTTCTTTGAAGTTGTAAGCTCTTTCAAAATTTGAATTGAGTACTTATTGGATGGTTATGTCACCTCTTCGGGTGATAAGGTTGTGCTGGTTTTGATTTTAGTGGCGTTGATGAGGTTTATTGTTCTACCTCTCGTCTGAATGACTTTAATTAGTATTTAACGATTTCTCATGAATGGTATAACTTCAATGCAACTTCAAGAGAGGGGCTAACCGAGGCACCCTTCTGGTAAGATTGAAATTTTAGTTGCTCCAGTGATTCAATTGTAGGAGACTCTCCTTCTATTTCATCTGGTGAATTCAAGAATATGCGTCTTATCGTCACAGTTTTTGGTTGGCCAAGTCCTGTCAGTTATAAGATAATCTGTGCATTCCAAATTTCTGAAGGCATTCTCAGTTCTGTGGATCATTATCTTCTTAAGCTTTAAGTTATTACGCTATTTTACATTTTAGTTTACATTGCTGATTTTAGACCAAGAATTAGTTGCAATTAAGCGAAAGTTGAGTTGGTGTTATTCCTCCCTCTTTCCCTTTGTTTTACTACCGCCCTATGTGTGGTTACTTTGGCTCTCTCTCTCTTTAAGATTTTGCTTCTCTGATATTGAGTTTTATTGTGCACTAACATCAGTAAAGCAATGCCTTGACATTTGTGAGAAATGTTGCTTGATTGTGTTTTCTAATACTTTTATGTGGACTGTTCTGATTATTAATGGATGGTGGCCAACAGGTGTCTTTGGTTGCTTGAGGGGGTGGAAGCCTTCTCAGAAATAAATTTTGAGTGCCGCAGATGAGGTATAACTGATGTTATTGGCAGTAGAAGGAGGAGGGTTCTTTTCTTCTTCAGCATCTGGGTATAGCAAGGGTCTGACCCTTCTTCTTTTGGGTCAAAAGGACGAAGATAAACCCATGAGAGTTTCTCCGTGGAATCATTACCAGTTGGTGGACCAAGAATCAGAATCTGACCTCCAGCTGGCTTCCACAAAGAATCGCATTTCCCGCGGCTGTGCCTCCTTTGTTTGCTTTGGTCGCACTTCCGCAGGGCTTGACAGTTCACCTTCTCCGCTTAAAGTAGGCCCAACCTTACCACATGATTCTTTGCCTGGGCCTTTAAGTACTAATACAGGGAAAGATGAAGTTCCTATTGTGAATGATGGTAATAGTTTGAGAAATATAGCCCTTAAAAGTAGCTTGAAAAAGCCCAATAATGGTATTTCAATTTCTCATCAGAATGCTCATGAAAGTGAAACAATGAGTAAAAAGGATGGTGATATACGTTGTCCTACTGATAGAAGAAAAGTTCAGTGGAATGATGCTTGTGGGAGTGAACTGGTAGAGATCAGGGAATTTGAGCCCAGGTATCAATGTTTCTTTACATTTTATTTTAAAGCACAAAACTTATTTATCTCTGTTGATTTCCTTTATCTTGTTCCTTCTCTGCCTTTGAAGAATTGCTAGTAGGATTCTATTTTGGGCCTCAACATTATCCTTGGAATAGATATTCTGATTATTTTCTACCTTTGTTTATATGCTAATTCCCTTGTTCGTTTAGAGCTGAATTTTGTTGTTCTTTTGCTGATAGTCTATACATCTTCTACCCCATGTCTTTAGTTAAACTTAGCTGATTAGGGCTTACTATTGATTGTATCATTGTTTTGGTACCTTTGACTACTTCAAGTGTCTTTTCTGTTGAATTTTTATTTTTTGTAAGAAACCATGTGCCAAACCAAAAGGAGTCTTGAAAAAGAATAATAATTTGAATAAGGTTTTCCTTTATTTTTTTTGTGATAAAAAATAAAGGATATAACATAAAATCTTTGACTCACACATAAGCCCAAATATAGGCGCTGAGGCGAGCGATTCATTATGTGACAATTTGAAATTATTTTAAGTTTTCTTGGCTTGGAGTGAACGATGAATCATGTGATCATACTCCTTGTAGGGGGATTTTGAGAAATCTTCTCACTTCAAAACCAGTTTAATACTCTAGTCTTTTATTGAAATGTTTAGATTTAGAAGTCCTTGATTTGTTTATTTTTGAAATCAAGTGACTATTGGGAACGTAGTCCATCAATGTCAACCCTTACAATGCATGGACCTGGTAATAACGACTAGAAAATTTCAATAGGCTTTGAAAAATGAGGCCCCTGGCTTGTACAACTCTTCAAAATTCTGTTGGAAGGGATTAAACATTTTAAGCATGACTTACTAAAAATGTTCCACGACTTATCTCTCCACAATGGTGCTTCATTTGCAAGGATAGCCTATGAATAACCTTGAAACACAACAGCACATCTGTCACCTGTGAGTATGCTAGAAAATTTTGGGACTTCCTCTTATCGACCCTTCCAAATGATCCAATGCCCTTCCTCTCTCGTTCTTGGTAATCACCGTCTAATCCTACTACATTTGATTGCTAAGGAATCTCATAAGATATTAAATCTTAGATAGGTGGCCACCATGGTTTGAATCCATTCCTTCTAAGTCCTTTATTATTTATGATAATCACCATTTTCAAAAAGGAAAATAAGCTTATTTGGATGAATTTTTTAGAGCTTTCCTACGGGTTACGTGACAAGAAGGAAATCGTAGAATCTTAAAAGAAAAAAAACTTTCTTTTGGCCAGACGCCATTTTTTTCCTTGTGATTACTTGGTAAATGCTCGCGTCTTTTTCGTAGCTATAATTTTTCTTATCTTCTATCCAATTGGAGGAGCTTTTTGTAACTCATTTAGATTGAGATTTATTCCCTTTTTGTAATTTCACACCATCAATGAAATTGTTTCTTACCAAGAAATAAAAAAAGACTTATCTCTAACTAGTAAAATCATTGTTCCGGTAAATGGAACTCTTTCTACTCTAATTCCTAAGAAAACTTGCCCAAGTAAAGTGTCCAAACTCAGACTTATCAGTATAGCCAGGGGAGTGTACCTTCTGACTAAAACTCTAGATGAAAGGCTCAAGTATGTGCTTCCCAATATCATTTCTACTCGCCAATTTGCTTTGTTGCAGGAAAATAGCTTACTGACCTTATCCTTATTGCCTAACTCGGTGGTTATCTTTAAGCTTAACATTTTGAAAGCCTTTGAAAAAATTAGTGGGGACTTTCTAGACACTATTTTATTAATGCGAAGTCGAGAGGCAAAATAAAGGCCAGAAGAGGAATCCATTGACCCTATCTCCCTCTCGTAGTTCTTGCTGTTAACAATCTTAGTCGTATTCTGGAGAAAAAGTTTTGCCTGATGGTCTTATTGAAGGTTCTATAGTGGAGTGATAATATCCAAAATTTGCATCTTCAGTTGATAACACATAGTTCTTGCTGTTAACAATCTTAGTCGTATTCTGGAGAAAAAGTTTTGCCTGATGGTCTTATTGAAGGTTATATAGTGGAGTGATAATATCCAAAATTTGCATCTTCAGTTGATAACACATTCCAACCATCATGGTATGACCTAGTGGTTAATAAGGACCAATGTAAATAGCAAGGGACTCAAAGGAAATGAGTTCAAACCATGGTGGCCACCTATCTAGGATTTAATATCCTATAAGTTACCTTGACAACCAAACATAGTAGGGTCAGGCGGTTGTCCTGTGATATTAGTCGAGGTGCGTGCGTGCAAGTTTGTCCGGACACTCACGGATATAAAAAAAAGGGTTGATGACACATTCCTTTTTCTATCTTTAAAATTGGTGAGTTGAGAAACCTCTTCAACCTCATCAATATCCTAAATCTGCTTCAGGCCTCAAAATACAAAATTTTAAATCTATGACTGCTGTTATACGCACAAGCTACGTAGATATGGGGCCTTAAAGCAGGAACGTGGAATTGTAGCATTGGCACCCTCCCGATGATACCTTGGAATGCCATCTTGGCAGTAACTTAAAGGCCATTTCTTTCTGGAATCCTATTTTGGAAAAAAAATTAAGTAAGAAGTAGATTCCAGAATGGACTTGGTGGAAGCTTGTTTTTAGTGATAGGTATTGTACTCATTGAGAATAACTAAGAACTAGTGCAGTGTTTTAGAATCCCGAGTTCAAAATGTGAGGCCAGTTCCGAGAGAGCCAGCTTCTAACCAACGTTGAACAAATACCTGGTAAGCACAGTAGACATATGTCAGAAACTAGTTGAACAAATCATGTGGTGAACACTTGTTAAACGCAAAAACACTTATCTTGAATGATTTGACATAATTCATTCTATCATTAATGCATAAGCATCATAAACTAAAACAACTTTTTAGCCCATCATTGAAATATATGTATATATATATATATATTTAAAAAGGGTCATATTATAATAGAAGCATCGTTGTCATGTCCACTCTAGATTTTTAAAAACTAAAGTACCGTTGTGTTCATGTTTTGTCATGTCATGTCTATGTTCGTACTCAGCTGATGACATAATTTTTTTTTGTATTGATGATCAAAGTATGATTTGCAATCTGTTTAAGGTAGTTAAGAGCTGACCAAGTGCACAAAAGCCATGCGATCCTATCCGCTCTCCCCACCTTCCCCATCCCCTTGCCCACCCGTCACCCTACACCACCACCACACCACAACCTCCGATGGCCCTTCTCCTCCTAACCTCCTCCTTCTCCCACCCAGCCGCCTACACGATCAGTATAAGCCACCGGAATTATCTAGCCCGAAAGGTAGAAATAGAACAAAAAACCTTCATTATCAAGGTGGATGAACTCTTCTGAGGTAGCCGAGCACGTTTTGAGATTGGTAGGGATGCCACCTACTCCCTCTCACTCACTTGGGCCTCCATCTCTTGGCTTCTTTCCACCACAAACCTTCTGTTAGACTCCCCTCTCACCCACGAGTTCTTTAAGGAACACCGCAATGATGATTACACGTTGTGGATAGAAAACTAAGCAACAAGAGGGGATACTGGCTGGAAATTAATAAACTAGACTGCAATGGAGGTAAGAACAAACTCATGCTCCCTTCGGGTGAGGGGAAAGGGGGATGGAAGGCCTTCCACACCCTTATAAACAACTATCCATTTGCGGACAAGCCACAAAAGCTCCCACTGCCAAACCAGGACATCTCTTCACCCGCTCCTCGACAACCCTATCCCATCACCTCTGAGCTGCCACAGTCCCCTGTACACACCACCCATACCATGAGCTCTCTAATTCGCTTGACCTTGTTTCCAGAGACCTTTGCTTGGAGCAGATGGATAATAGTGCAGTGTCACTCTTTTCATGATGACTGGCACTCCATTCTCCGGTCCATACCGGAATTGATTAGTGAGTTTTGTTCCCTTAGCCTCGTACATGCTCACAAAGCCCTCCTTAGATGTGAAGATGGACAACAAGCAAAGTCCCTCACATCAGTTGATGATTGGCAGCCCATTGGCCCTTGCAAACTCCGCTTCCTCCCATGGAGTACTAACAACATGAACTCAAACCGACAAGTCCCATCCTATGGCGGTTGGATCACTATTAGAGATCTTCCCCTGTGTCTACACAGTCATCCCATACATTGGGAACAAATGTGGAGCTTTTATAGAAGTATCAAAGACTTCATCCAACCTTAGAAACCTCATGGAGCTAAAGATTAAGGTCAAAGGAAATGATACTAGCTTCATCCCCGCGATGGTGGAGCTCCCACCGGCCATTACTCATGAGGATGCCCTCACAATCCTCATAGACCCTTTCTTCAACGACTGGAACCTGATCGGTACTTAGGGCAAAAACCCCAGCTCTTTACAGCACCACTCCAGGGGATTGGCTAGAAATTTGATTGCTTGATGCCGGACTCTCGCTGGAACCACCAGGGACCCACCCATCGAGAGATGTCACGACAAACACAACAACATTCTCGATGAACCAGCTCCTACTATCACACTGACAGATGTTGTTGACAGCAATTTGGAGAGAGTATGGTATCTCTACTAGCACACAAATCACAAAACAGATCGCAAAGGATTGGGGCTTTGCATCAGGGAGTTGACCAAGCATCTATTTGGGTCTTCCTTTAAATGGTAACCCTACAAGGGAGGCTTTTTGGATACCAATTATTGAAAGGATCCAAAACCGCCTTAGCAAATGGAGCAACATCTTTATCTCTAAAGAGGGGAGACTCACCATCCTCCAATCGGTCCTCACAGACTTACCTATCTACTATCTTTCAATTTTCAAAATATGCAGTAAAGCGGCTGATCTCATAGGCAAAGTTTTCAGAGATTTTCTGGGAAGGACCGAATACAAATGGGAAGCCTCATCTCATAAATTGGACTTGCACCCAACTTCCAATTTGTGAAGGAGGCCGCGGTGTTGTGAACATTAAACACAGAAACCGAGCCTTACTATCCAAATGGATTTGGAGATACATCACCAAGCCAAACCAACTGTGGAGGAAGCTCATCTCAGCAAAATACACAGGTTCTCTCTCGGATACTTGGCCAAAAATTCGATCTAATGTTTACAAAGGACCATGGACTGGAATCTTTCAACAAACCAGCTTTGTCAAGAAGTTTGCGATTTGCAGAGTAGGAGAAATTAGCCAAATCAGCTTCTGGAGGGATAGGTGGCTCACCCATGGAACTTTGGACAGCCTCTTCCCAAACCTGTTTGCCATCTCGACCAACAAAGAGGCAGCTGTTACAGATTTATGGTCGAAAACATCATCCTCTTGGGATTATAGTTTCCGTAGACCCCTAAAGGAAGAAGAGATTACAGATTAGCTGCACCTCTCCCTCCTTTTAAATGAGAAGACACCCACCTCCCTAGAAGATAGATGGACTTGGCCCCTTAAAGCAACTAGATCTTTCTCCACCAAATCGGCTTACAGTGTCCTCACTACTGATGCTTCCCAAGCGGCCTCCACCCTCTTCCCTCACATCTGGCAAGGAAAGTGCCCTAGAAAAATAAAGTTCTTCTGTTGGGAGCTTTGTCATGGGGCAATTAATACCCATGACAGGATACAAAGAAAACACCCATACATAGATCTCTCTCCAAATTGCTGTCATTTTTGTTATGGGGCTCACGAGACACAGTCATCTTTTTGTCCACTGTACTTTTGCTTCTCGATTTTGGAACCATTTCTTCACTGCTTTCGGGTGGAAGACAGATCTACACAACAAACCATCATCCCTATCTTGACCAACTATTGGCAGGACATCCTTTCAAGAAGGAAAGAGCAACTCTTTAGGTACAGTTTGTTCGGGCCTATCATTGGAGTTTTTGGTTGGAGAGAAACAATAGGGTCTTTAATGTCAAAGCCCTGACATCTTTTTTGATAGAGTTATTTTTCTAGCTATTGGTTGGTGTAAATGTTTCTATCCCCCTTAATAGCTATTCTTGAAATGATCTTATTACAAGTTGGAAGGCTTTCTTGTAATTGTCTTTAGAGCCTTTTGTATATTTCATACCATCAATCAAATATTTGTTTCTCATTTAAAAAAAAAAAAAGAGGTAGTTTAGAGTTGGAATCAGTACTACAGGTTTATCTACAATAAACCATGGCTTGTGGAATCATATCAAGATGGAAAGAGTATTTGACATGGATACTAGGTTGAATTCTTCCTCCAATGTCTTACCCAGGGCATGCCTTTTGAGGTGATACGAAGGGAGTGGATTTTTTTGAAACAAATGAAAGAAAGAAGTTTTAAGAAAATTGGATAAGTGGAAGAACCAATCTTTTAAAGGAATACGCTTGACTTGTGCTAATGGAGTACTTTCTAATCTTTCGAATGTATTATATGCCATGTCTCCTAACCCAAGAAATATAATATTGACAGTTAAAAGAAAGTTTAGGGACTGTATTCCGGATTGAGGAAAAGAAAAAGAAATATTAGCCTTCTTAACTGGGGAATAGTATCCATTGGAAAATGGTGACCTTGGAATTGAAAATTTGAAAAAACAAAACAAAACTTTGCTTGTCAACTTGCTTTGGAGGTTTCCTGTGGTGAAAGGGAACTCTGGAATGATATAATCTCCAACATCTATGGAAAGGATATTTGAATATTTCTGGTTGGTTCACAAAGAAGAAAAATACGGGAACTTATTGTAGCCTGTGGAAAATATTTCAAAGCTAAAACCAGTCTTTGATGCTTGTTCCTCAAATAGAATTGGAAATGGGAAAAAACTTTGTTTTGGAACGACAGTGGTTGGGATCCCCAGCATATTATGTATTCTCTTTCTAGAAATTTTGCATTGGTAAAAGGATAAGAGATTTCAGTCAAAGGTGTTTGGGATGAGAATTGTGCTGATTGGAATCTTGTGTTTAGAAGGAATTTGACCGAAATTGAGGAAGGAGAGTTTCAATTATTGCTTCAATTGCTTAATGGTATTTCTTTGAATCCATGGGAAGATAAAAGATGGTAGTATTTACACACATCAGAAATGTTTTTGGTTAGGTCTTTATTTTTTAACTTAACCAACTTGAGAAGTTGTGTCAAGAAAATTTTGGCTTTAACAATTTGGAGGTGAGAAGTTCCAAATAAAGTTTATTTCTTTCTTGGGACTGTGTCATGGTGGCTTAAACACGGTCGAAAGAATTTTAAAAGAGATTTCCTAATATATTTGCATAATTTTTTAGTTCTCTTTTCAGCTGGAATTTTTGGCATCAGTTGTTAAAACAGTTTCAAGTTTCTTGGATATTTGTCAAAGTGGCCAAAGGTAATCTTGAGCCATTATTATGAGGTCAAAAGATTATTTAGGAGGAACCATAGATTTTGTGGGTCAATGCTATTAAGGCCTTTGCTTGGAGACTTTGGAAGGAAGCAAATTATCAAATCTTCAATAGGAAGGAAGGAGATCAGGAAAGAAGAATTAGAGTTGGCTAAGTTTTGTTGCTCTTCATCGGGTTCTCTTTCTCATTCTTTTAGCTTTTTGCTATTTCTTTGGCTTTAGATCTCTCCTAGATTGTTGATTGTGGTTTTGATTATTTGGTCTAAATATCTTGTATTTTAGTTCCTTATCTTGTATGTTAGTTCCTTTGTTTGGTTATTTTTCTTCTTTTTTCGTTTCCTTTGGGAGCTTGTATCCTTGAACACTTTTCTTCCTTTTCATATTATCAATGAAAAGTTTATTTCTTGTTAAAACAAAATATGTATTTGTACTCCTTTTGTTATTAATTCCAATTAGATGGCTGGTTTACGAGTTTGTAGTGGAATATGGTTATGGTCATTCATAATGTGTGGGACTCGAGAGTCTTTTTTTTCTTCTATATTTAATGTGTTTCCTTTTCAGAAAAAGAAAACAGTTTATTTATTTATTTTTATATAAAACCATACTGACAGACACAAATTAACCAAATTGATTAAAATTGACTTAGTTCTATTGGCTTTCCTGATTTCCCTTCACACCCGGCATATTAGGCCATGAAGATGTCCAATTGGTAGGTAATTTTTTGCATTTTCGCTCTTACATTGTTTCAGTACCTGTGCCTTTTCTGTTTTTTGTGTAACGGTTCAGTTCACGTACAGACAAATGTTTGAGAGTGCTTTTAACCGTGACTAAAAGTGCGTTTAAAATAATTTTACGCACATCGTCTTTGACCAATTACCTCTTTGTTCTCACTTATTCTCATTACTTCTCTCCTCTATATGTTTTAACTTGTATCTCTGCACGTAGTATCTCTCACAAATCTCTTAGCTCACATTTTTTCTCACTATCTTCTTATTACGTCCACCTCTTATCAATCGCTCTGTACAAACTCTCTGCATACACACATCCTCTCAAGGCTTATTTATCTCTCTTACTAATTTCTCTTTATATTTATATATTTTCTCTAACTAATCCCTCACTATACTACCTCTCACTTTTTTTTTTTTTTTAAATTTTAATTGTTTTTAGTTTAGTTATTTGCTAACTCTTGAAGTATTTGTTAAATATAAAGAATTCATAAATCCTTTCTGTTATATTAAAAAAAAAGACTTGAAATATTGAATGATTTTATTATTATTAAAAGCTAGTGTTGGTTTCCATTGTATAAAAGTCATCCAAATACCCCAACAGTCTCATATTTACCCCTTGGCGAGATAGTGTTTTGTCTAGATCACGAATTTTGTTGGAGTCTGCTTGGGACTTATTTTCTTAATGGGTTGTTATTTTTATAGTCTTTTTTTAATTTTTTTTTTTAATTTTTGGTTTGGTGTTGTCCTTATTATTTTGAATTCATGTATTTTTTTTATGGTCTCTTCTTTTCATTGTGTCTTAGATCTCAGGTTATCTCAGGTTGTGAGATCGTTCTGTTTTTCCTTGCAATATATGCATTGCAATATATGTTAGCTTTGCAGGAAAAAAAAATCATCCAAATAGCATATTATTGGATTTCTGCTCACTCTTAACCCCGAATTCGTTACCTTCAAGAATTAAATCATTACAAAACTCAAATTACAAAAATTAGAAACATGTTTTAACTTTGAAGTGATTGTTTAGATATGTTGATGCAGAACAGGCTTGATCAATTCTGTTACCCTGTGATATTTCTCTCGTTTGATTGCCATTGCCCGGAGAATTATTGCAGATAAAAACCCTCGAAAAGTTGTGGTGAATATTTTCATATTACTCATCTAAAGTTTCTGCAGTAGTATGTAGCTTTCATTTTCGAATCATTCGAATTTGTTTAAAATATCCTCAGAATAGAACATTTATTTGCACGTCAAAGACGTTTTTCGTTTTTCATTTGTCCTATTTTTATTTCATCTCTCCTCTTTGGATTCTATTCTCCCTCTAATTGGTATTGGGTTCCATTTCCAGTGAAGCCGGTCTTTCCGATGACGAGCTCGAAAATGGAAACAAGAGGAGTTGTTCTTGTGCAATCATGTAGCTCTAGGCTGCTTCAAGAATAGGGGTAAATTTCTAAACAAGAAAACGCTTGCCCGTCTCCTTTGCCCAAACATTCTTTGTGGATACTCACAATCCTGATAAAACACGATCACGTCGACAACGACTGCATTCAATGGTCAGATTTCCCACTCGATCATCGCGCTGTTTATAGTGAATTGTTCTGTTTTCGGTTTTCAGTTTTGTTCCTACGCGTGGTCTGTTTATTTTTTACTGGCATTTGTAAGACTTCCTCCATTGTACACTATCTTCACTTTCAGTATATTCCCTTTTTTTTCTTATTATTATTATTTTGGTCATTTGCTATATAATGAATATTCATTTGTTGTCCCAAAGTCGCAAATGTTAGTCTGATGGAATTATATTGTCTGTGTTTTCTCTTCAACCTCTCCCACGTACTTGATATTTCAGAATCTTTCGAAATTATTTGAACTAGCAAATGAGATTTAAATGGTGACTTAATTAGATTATAACTATATTGTTTTTAATCAGTGTTTCTAAAAATATAAGTAATAATATTGATGTCAATAAAAATTTCAAGATTAATTGTTAAAATTATACAAATTGTTTTGCTTGATTGCGAGTCTTTTTTTGCATGGTTTTTTGTATTGTTTAATTCGTCTCAATGAAAGTTCTGTTTTTATTGAGAAAAAATATGAAAATTGTTTGAATTAATAAATTAGTTGTAGCTTATGTAGACTATAATTTTCTACTTAAAATTATTATATAAAAGAAATATGAGTAAGATTTATACAAAATATGGATGTCCAGAAGGTAGATATTAAAGGGAGAAAGATCAGCCGCTCCCAAATTAGGGCTAACGGACAGAAAAGAAATGTCGGGTTTTGAAAAATAACTGTATTAGATATCATAAAATTGATCGTTTTTTTCTTAATTTGAGAATCCAGAATTTTATTTGGGACAAATTCATTCCTGAAATACAAAATAGTTATACAATGTTTGATTTTAGGATTTTTTTTTTCCACGGCAACATACAACCGGAAAAAAAAATAATAATGAAATTAAACAAACTGATCTAAGAGTATATTATTTCAAATAAACAAAATAATATATAACTGACATAAGAAATCATTATTTTGAAATTGTAATTTCAAATTGGGAAACAATCACTAATCCCTCCCCTTGAAATCCAATATGATTTGAAATCTCACGTTGTCCATAAAATTTTCCTTCTTTGATAGGTTTTTAATTTAGAGTTGACCATATTACAATTTTACCCTTACAAGTTAAATTGAATCTGAAAAAAAAAAACCTACTAGTTAGAGATGGAGGTAGTGCTACAGTGCTTTCCTAAAGAATGAGATGTGATAAAAAGGGTGGAGAATGAGATGAAATAAGTAAATTAAATAACAAAATGGACCCACGGTTTTAAAACTCAAGATTCTTTATTGGAAATTTCTTAGAATAGAAAATTAGAAACCTATTAATATTTTACTAAAATTGTTTCGAAACAAAATAAGAATCCAATATAGGATTAATTTTAGAAATAATATATTTTCAATTAACATCTATTCCATCTTCGACGTTGGAGGTTTAAACTCTCGTACCCCAATTTGTTGTACTAAAAAAAATAAACAAAATAAATTATATTGCAATTATTTCTCTTTTAAACAAATTTGAATAGATGTTACTTATTGAAGTTTATCTTCTCTTGTAAAATAAAACCACTACTAATTCTAAAAAAATTAAAGAAAACAATTACTATTGATATAGTAATTATATTACTTACAAAAATTTGGTTGAAAAAACACCTAATTACATTTTTTAAATAATATATTTTTTAATAGTAACTATTTTATTTTATTTTATTTTTTAGTATGTAGGGGATTCAAACACATAAAGACAAGTGATGATTACGGTTGAGCTAAGATCTTGACAAATGATTTTATTTTATTTTTTTAGAATTAGTATGTGTTTTTATTTTAGAACAATCTCATTTTTTGGTAGTATGAAGGGGGAATTGGCCCAAAAATTGGATAGGGTCAAGAGATAAAATAAATTTTAATAGGTAACTTTTATTTAAATTTGTTTAAAAGAGGAAGAAAAAAAAACATTAAGGAGAGACTTGAACCTAAGACCTTTGGAATATGAGTATAACCACTAAATCAAAGTAAACCAATATAATTTTGTCACAGGTTATGAGTGGCGAATCCAAAATTTTATGTTGGGGGCACAAATGCATAAAGATTAGAAAAATATCAATTTTATACTAGAACTTGGTAATGTGTATCGATTTTCATCTTACAATTGGATAATGTTGTCATTTTTACCTTGAACTTTAAAATATGTTACAAAATTTACAATTCGATTGATTTTCATTTGAAAATTTGTTGAAAAAAATAATCTCATGTGTCAAATGAATTAGAAAATACATATGTTTTGGTATAAAAATAATTGATATGATTTAAACAAAATCGACATTAGAGTTGTTCTAAATTTGAAAGTTTTGGCTAGTTATTTGATATTAGATTTTGTGCATTAATCAAACTTAATTTGAGAAACTTGATTTTTTTGTTAAATTAGTAAGTTTTGTAGATTTTTAAACTTAATGGATAAACTAATATAAATTTGATAGATAGATAAAAATTATAACATTTATTTAAGTTTAGGGTTATGAACTTAAATAGAAAAAAATGTACTAACCGGAACTGCCAGGAAGAGAAAACAAATATGAATTAGGGAAGTGCAAGTGGGGGCACAGGGTGTAAGCCAACAGAACGAACATTATTTTTATTTTTAAATTGCATACTAAATAATATTTATTTAAAATTCAAGGAGGGCACGTGTCCCAGTCCCTTTGTGGATCCGTCCGTGCATGTTGTGTCTTCTAAGATTAAAAAGAAAAAAGAAAAAAACACGTCGCTAGCAAAGAGCCATACAACTAAGAGACCATGAGATGACGTACTTTAAATTTTCCAAGCATTATTATTGGAAATAGTTTGGTAGATGGTATATATTTGGAAGTACTGCAATAAGAAACATTATCATATAAAAAAGAAGTCCTACAATTATAATATATACTTTTTATTTTTAATATTATTTAAAAAGAATATTTTTTGTGGTACAAAAAAAGGTTAGTTTTATTTTAAAATATAGTAAAGAAATAATATTAAAATTACAAATTTTTGTTAAAATATATAAATCGTAAAGTTAAAATAATATAAAAGTAATTTTTTTTGTTAAAAAATATAAATATAAATATCAAATTTAAATTATTAATTTAAAGAAAGAAAATTTTTTTTTTATACATTTTAATATTTCTTGTAAAATTATGGAGCAAACTGAGGCATCACGAGTCACGAATAACGAAAAAACGGGATTTGACAAAATATAAAATTAAAATATATAAATTTAGAAATTTGAAATAAAAACATGAATTCTTTAGAAATTTAACAAATATTTTCCACCAAATTCCACTCAAATTCTTTATTCCAAATTATCCATGAATTGCCACTATTTTATAGGCAATTTGTACAACCATGAGGTGTTACATTTGGGACACTAATAATAGGTAGAAAAAGGACACATGGGTTATTGAGAATCAAGCACATGGATAAGGGTCAACTTGACACTTGGAGACACTAAGCATATTAAAGAAATTGACACATGGGGTTAGGGTTATTTATATTTTGACACCTAGATTGGGCATCTAATTTGGATAATGTTTATAATACTCCCCCTTAGATGCCATTGTTTATATGAAATATGTCTCGTTAAAATCTTACTAGGAAAAAATCTAGTGGGAAACAAATCCCAATGAAGGAAAAAGAGTACATATTTCATATAATCTAGCAAATCCAAAAGAATACAATAAATTATGCTCCTCCTCATAGAAACATCACTTGAGATCTCTGAGCCGCCGTATTCCAATGTCGCGTACCAATCTTTCAAAGGTTGCAGTAGGTAATGCCTTTGTAAATAAATCTCCCAGGTTATCCTTCGAACAAATTTGTTGAATATTAATGTTGCCATTTTCTTGAAGATCATGAGTGTAGAAGAGCTTAGGCGAGATATGTTTTGTTCTATCCCCTTTAATATATCATCTTTTGATTTGGGCTATACATGCTGTGTTATCTTCGTATAATATCGTTGGAAGATTATTAGGAGACAAACCACATGTTCAACGAAAATGTGTTGAGTCATTGATCTTAGCCACACACATTCTCGACTAGCCTCATGAATTGCAAGAATTTCAGCATGATTTGAGGAGGTAGCTGTTATGGTCTGTTTCACTGATCACCATGATGCAACAGTTCTTCCATATGTGAACAAATAACCTGTTTGAGATCTAGCTTTGTATGGATCAAATAAATATCCGGTATCTGCATAACCAACTAGATCAAAATTTAATTTGTTTGAATAAAACAAGCCCATATCAGTCGTTCCTCGAAGATACGGAATATACGCTTGACTCCGTTCCAATGTCTTTTTGTTGGAGACGAACTATATCTCGCTAATAAATTAACTGAAAATGCTATATCTGGTCTTGTGTTATTAGCAAGATACATAAGTGCACCAATTGCACTAAGGTATGATACTTTAGGACCAAGAATTTCTTCATTATCTTCTTGAGATCGAAATATATCTTTCTTCACATCAAGTGAATGAACTTCCATTGGAATGTTCAATGGATGTGCTTTGTCCATATAAAATCTTTTTAAAACTTTTTATGTATAAGTTGATTGATGCACAAATATCCCATCTGCTAAATGTTCAATCTGAAAGCAAAGACAACATTTTGTTTTTCCGAGATCCTTCATTTTAAATTATTTCTTAAGATACTCTATTGCCTTTAGAAGTCATCAATATACACAATTATAATAGCAAATCCTGATTGTGATTTCTTTATAAAAACACACAGACAAATTGGATTATTTTGATATCCTTCATTCAACAAACATCCACTCAGGCGATTATACCACATTCGTCCTGATTGTTTTAATTCATGTAATGATCTCTGTAACTTTATTGAATACAATTCTCGGTAACTTTGATTATATGTTTCAGGTACCTTAAATCCTTTAAGAATTTTCATATATATATCATTATCAAGTGATCCATATAAATATGTTGTGACTACATCCATAAGATGCATATCAAGACTTTCAAACACAGTAAGACCAATTAAATATCTCAGTGTAATCGCATCCACCATCGGAGAATATGTATCCTCATAATCAATATCAGGTCGTTGTGAAAAACCTTGTGCAACCAGTCTTGCCTTATATCTTGTGACCTCATTGTTTTCATTTCTTTTTCTTACAAATACCTATTTGTATCCCACAAACTTAACACCTTCTGGTGTTCAGACTACTGGTCCAAAGACTAGACGTCTTGAATC